CACCTGTAAATACATCAGGGCTCTTTTGCGCAGCTCATTCCAAACTAAGGTTCTAGTCCTCATGCTTCGGAATAAAGATCTGATATAAACCTGGACATAAATAGCTGTTTTTTATTTACTTAGGTAAAATCATCCTGTCCATCTGGGCCCATTTTGTCTACGCTGACCGGCTCTACAGTAGGCGCTGAAATCGGAAACCTTCTGAATACAAAATACCGTGCAAGGCAGCGGTGGTGTAGTGGTTACAGTGCCGGCCTTTAAGACCTGAGAAATCCCAATTGCAGCCTCTACTGAGTCCTAAAATTGAGCCTGTCGCTCTCTCTCTCTCAGCCTGACCCACCTCACAGCATTGTTTGCTGCACGAATGAAGCAGGGAAGGTTTGGAGGAGAACCCCTCGCAAGAGCAAAGCCGTGCCCTGTTTTCAAATCACAGCCTTTCTGTGATTTTTAAGACCGTTTAGCTCCGTCTCGAACCCACACGGGGCCCGCAACTGTCGTTCCTAGTATTTTAAGTAAACAGCAGAGCCGAGGGACGCGAGCGAAGCCCAAAGGCGCCTCATACAGAGGGCAATCGCAACAGAGCAGGAGTCGCGAACTCTTGTTTTCTTTTAAATCCAAGTTAGACCAACCCGGTTCCCACAAAAATGTCGTCGGCCGAGCTACCGTCCTGGCACCGAGCGGGAGAGCTGGACCGCTTTGTCATCCCCTCCCTTCTTTCCTGTCTCCGGTCCAACAACCCCAAAAACAGCCACCGATTTCCCAACATCCAGTCGTTTCGGCTCCTGGAACGTTCAGGATCCGATCCGAAGCAGACACGGATTAGCCCCTTCTTTGGCTCCTCAGCTGGATGAAGTGGGGAGCAGGTACCCTGTATCGATGGATGGCGGGGGGGGCTGCCCCGTGGCCCCAGCCGGCTATCCCACTGGTGCAGCCTGCCCACGCACGGATAGGATTTCTTGACTGTTACGCTCCCTGGGGCAGACTCTCCATAGAACAGCACTCCTCCTTTAGAGCAGGAAGGCCTAGCAGTTTCAACAACGACGTCTGCTCCTAATCAAATTTCTCACCAGGACCGGGAATAACAAACGGGCCCCCATCTGGCACTCGCTCGCTGGCTCTCCTGCAAAGTCTGTGAAAGCATTTTTAAAGCAGCAGCTCCTATGTATGACAATTATGGGATGGGGGAGGCATCCTAAGGACAATTGCAGAGGGGGAAAAATGCCTAGCAAAGATCTGGTTTTTACTCCTTTTCTACCCCCCCCCCGGCAATATAATAAGGAAACAAAGGTTATTTCCTATGCTTTTATTCTTTCTGTAAACTTCATTCCTAGAAAGATCTGGGAATAAAAAAGGGAGGAGCAAAACCACCCTTTAGGGCTTCATCCTTGCAATCGAGAGCTTACAAAAGGAACGGCTTGGACTACAACTCCCAGAAGCCTCCAGTCGGCATTGGGAGTGCGGGTGAGGGGACCATGGAGGCTGTAGTCCATACCGTTTTCCAAACTCGGCGGCAAACTCAGGTCAAGACGTTATTCCTAAAACCACAAGAATTCCCTTCGCCGCTCCTCCTTTGACACAGTTTGACCGGATCAGAGTTTTCCCTTGCATCTTCAATACGATGTGGGGATTCGAAACCACAACGGCACAACAACCCCAGAGAGGGCCCCGAGAGTCCAAACGAGCCCTCCCTCGTTTAAAAGGTGCAACCGTGCTTATTTCACTCTCGTTATGCCCCGCCCTTCACAAAAATCCAGGGACAGGTAATTTTTTTAAAAAAAAGAGGAACGCAATAAACAAGAAATGTCAAATGCAGCAAACACATGGTGTAAAACGAAAAGCAATCGACATAAATAAAAAGCAATTATACGAGAGCGAAAACAGGGGCCGGATGATCCACACAGACTCGGGCGGCCTGCTGAAGTGGCGGATTAGGACTCTGGAGACCTGGGTTCGAATTTCGACTCGGTCCTGGAAACTCACCAGCACAGTCGAACTGGTCAAGTCACTCCATTCCTTAAATGTCCGCCTTGCCTCGAAATCCCTCTTAGGGTGGCTACGAGTGAGTAGGGCAAACAGCGAATGAACGAAACCCAATTCCAAAAATGTTTATTATGGGGCCCTAGTTGAACTGAGAAATGTACATTTATCCCCACACAGCTTCCTGTCCCATAGCTGTCGATGTGGGGAGACAGGGCTCCGTGGGGCCAAACCGCTAGCTCAACATTCGCACACAGCGCCCGTTCGCCCACCTGTCGCCGAATTCTCTTCGGCCACGTTGCGACGCGCAACAGCTGCCCGGCAAATGGGGTCCCGAGCACCCAAACAGCTGTGCGAAAGACGGCACGCACCATGTAGCTTATTGTTTGTGAGTCGTGGGGGGAGAGAGAGACGTAACCCCAAAAATGCTGATCAAGGATAAGGCCCCCACTTATGGGAAGCATGGCACCCCGAATTTTCTCAGAGCGCACCCAGAAAGGTGGCAACACGAAGACCTTAATGAAAGGCGTCTGAGGCTTTCTGTATTTAAGTTCTCTGTAGAGAGGCAAACTTTCCAGAAATTTTCATTATTTTCTGGGGGGGAAATGTGTTTTTTCCCCCACCTTTTTTTTCACAGAAAAAAAATCGAAATTTTACATCTCTAGCTAGAACCTGCGACACAGAAACTAATCCGCAGCGGATAGGTGGCCAAACTGTAAGAGATCCTAGCCATCGTTACAGCCGCCCTGCGAAGTTCTTACAAAACACGGAGCGAAACAGGAGCCGCCGTGCCCCAAAACGCACTGGACTCTCAAACACTGCACCAGGCCTACTCTCCAGGGCTGTCGTTAAGGGTTTTTTGAACCAGGTCTGTCTAAAGAGTCATAAACAAACAGAATCTGGAAAAGCTAGGGATTTTGGGGAACCACAACTCCCAGCAGCTCCCGGCCAGCATACTGAGGATGATGGACACTGTAGTCCCCCGACATAGACTGGCAACCCCTCTGACCACGAATAACAATCACCATCAACAACTGTAGTATTATGGAATTCCACCCCCCCCACCTTGGAAATAGAGGGAAAAGAGGGTTTTAATTCCAGTTGGTTAAAAATGGCATTCCACCCCCCCCCACCTTGGAAATAGAGGGGAAAGAGGTTTTAATTCCAGTTCATTTCCAGCCTTCCTTGCGTCTGCCTGAAAAGAGGGTGTCCCCCCCCCTAAGAAATGGGGAGATGGCCTGTGGCCAGGCTGCCCCCTTTTAGAGGCTGGGATCTATGGGTCACAGAGGATGGAGGGCGGAGATCTTACCCAACTGGGGTTAAAAAAAAATAAAGGCAAATTACGTGGGCTTTATTTATTTATTTATGTTTTGCATCGCTTTTGGCATTGAATATGCAAGCCAAATCCGGAGCGAGACGCCCTGCACTTTGCCTGGGTGCGGTTTTTAAACGCCACTCCTGTGTAAACCCAATTCCTCGCCACTTGAGCGCCATGAAAAACAATGGGATTTACTTCTGAGTAAGGCGATCACAGGACCGCACTGTGGTGGAGTTTTTTTTTAAACGCGTGCCCAGTTTCCCTCGCCAAGGAAACGCATCTCTGTGGGTCAATCCGCATCCGCACTTCGGCTTTGGGGGACCGCCTATTCGGAGTCACACCGCCCGCAAGCTGATTCGGATTCTACCGGCGACCGGTTTCTTAATTCAGCTTGCATTTGGACGTCCCTTGCTCCCCCGCCCTCCATCCTAATTCGAATTGCATTGGAAGCACGCTCATTCACTCTTCCTCGCCTCGCCTACGATCTGGGATGGCCTTTCCCGTGTTAATTCGAATTAAGTCTGAAACAAACATACACACCCCTCTCCACTACCTTCTGAACTCATTTCTACTTCTCATCCAGATCGGGTTTTTTGTTTTTCCCTATCCGGATTCACACCGAATCGCAGAACCCGATCTGCAGGACGGTTCCTTCCTTAGCCTAATCCGGATTCCCCGCTCCGAAACGCCCAGGGCGGCCGCACCGCTTCGATTCGCCCCCTCCTCTCTTTCCCGGTTCTGCTCCGAATTCGCTTCGCTTTCCCTCCCCCCCCCGGGGTTAACCCCCTCGGGGCCCGATCCGGCGCCACTCACCTGGCGAGGAGGTGTCGGGGGCGCCTCCG